TTCTTCCCACCCCGGATCGTCGCAGCACACTTACGGAAAATCAACTGACGGTAAATGTAACGGTTTATTCTCAATTCTAGTCCACCGATCTTATGCCTGTACTGGTTACTGTAACTTTGTACTAATTGAATACATTTTAAACAATGCATATGAAGGGCTAGCTAGGTGGGGGAGAGGTGCACGCGGAGGCGGTGGGCGCCGTCTGACCTGCCCCCAGGGTTGAGGGTTCCACGCTCTTGTCTGCTCCGCACAGCTGCCTTCCTGGGCTCCCCTGGATGTAGCCCTCAAAGCTCTAGGTTTTCATTGGAAGGACTCCTGGGCAGCTAAAGCCCCCAAAGAAAGAATCCTGCACCCTGGCCTCCCACCCCGCTGCCGCCGGGAGGTGGAGTCTCTTATCACACGCTTTCTCTCTTCCACTCCTGGCGCCCCTAGAACCCAGAGCGGGAAAATCGAGAAGCCGCAAAGTGAGAAGGCGGGCTACGCAAATGACATGCTAACGACATGCAAATGAACCCGCCGAGCGGGGTTCGGGGCCACTCAGAGGAGGGGTCGAGGTTGACAGAAGCGGCTGCGGGCCCCGGGCAACGGGCACGCCCCACCGCCTCGCCCGGAGGCCTCCCCGCCCGGCTCCCTGGAGACGCGGAGGTGGGCCCGCCCACCGGAGCCCTGCGGCCCGCCCCTCCGGTCCCCGCCGCCGCCCGGCGTCCTGCCGCCTCCACCGCGAGCGGGCCGGGCCGCAGGAAGCCGCGCTCCGCTGGAGTGGAGCCGCCCCTCCGCCGGGCCCGGGCGAGCCGGTGAGCGGGCTCTCCCCACAGTCCCCAGGGTGCCGGGGTCCCTGTGAGCGCCGTCGCGGGCCCGCCCCGCCGTGGGCCTCCGGGGCCCCTTCCCGCCTGTGGGGGGAGAGGATCCAGAAAAGCCTCTTGCCCGGGTCCTGGGCCGCCCCAGCCTGCGATGGCCTGAGGGGTGAGGGGACAGGCACCAGCCAAGGCCTGGGCTGAAATCTCCACGGGGACGCCGCCTGGACGTCCAGAAGCCCCACCCAGAGGAGATCCATCTCGGGGTGGGTGGGAAGCCGAGTGGAAGGAAACTAGATCCCGACAGCAGGGACTGAGCCAGGGTGACAAGAGGTCAGGAAGTTCCTGCTGCCTATCCCATCCCCCTTCCAGGCTGTGGTCAGCCTGCCCCTGCCCTGATGGCGGGGCACCTTTGGAGGCACAGAAGGGAGGAGGGTGGCTGGCGCCAGCCGGCCCCTGCCAGGTGCAGGGATGTGCGGGCTTGTCAACCCCAAGCTCAGGCTGGTTCTTGCTGCTCTCCTGTCCTGCAGGAACCCGCACTGCTGCCTGTCCTGTGTCCTGGGCTTCAGGCCCGGGATCCTGCCTGATGTGGGGCCTGGGGAGAGAGGGGGTCTGCAGGGTCTGGCCATCCTTCCGCTGCTGGTGAAGCTGGTGATTCCTCGTTTTCCTCTCACCAGCTCTCCCACCGCGGGAAGGGGGCAGAGGGAGAGGGGGCGGCGCCTAACCCCAAAGCCCTGTGTGAGAGCATCCGCTCACCCTTTTGCCGGTACCTGCGAGCTCAGAGGGGCTGGGACTGGATTCTGAGGGCCTAGCTAGGCCTCTGTCATCAGATGAGAAGCCCAGGGACTGTGTGTGACGGGAGAAGGACAAGAGGTGTCATGTGAACTTCTGCCCTGCCCACGAACCCGGCTTCAGGCCACCTGGGCATGAAGATGGTCTCACTCAGGGTGGGGGACCCCTGAGGGCTGAGGTCGGCAGCTCCTGCGGAAAGCTGCTCGCCTCCAGTCCCGGGAAGGGAGAGTGAAGTGTCTCCAGCCGCGTTTCCCTCCTTTGCCCCAGCCACGCACCAGGCAGTGATTGTGACTCCTGGCTGCCAGTACCAAGGGAAGACCACTTCTCTGCTGGGGCAGAGGTGGAGCCGGAGCCCCCATCTCTGCTCTGCTCCGCTCTGCTCGAGTCTTCTGGAATGGACCTACCTGCTGGGAAACCAGGTCACCCTTGTTCCTGGGCTTGCCTGCCCCCTGGAGAACACAGGTGGGTCACATTAATGTTACATTTTGTGCTCAGGTGGAGGCTGGGTGCGGGGCTGTGAACAGGTCCTGCTCGTGGTATGGAAGGTGGGGAGGAGGAGGGGGGCGACAGTGATAAACAAGGGAAGGACCCACTCCAATGTGGTGTGAGAACTGCTATTACAGAGAGAAGTACGGGAAAGGGCCTAGCCTAGCCTGGGGTAAGGGTCAGGGTAGCTTCCTGGAGGTGCTGCTGGAGCTGAATCTTGAAGGACCAACAGGACTTCTCTCTGGCTGAGGATTTTGGAATCTCTGCAGCCGGAGGGGGAACCAGCTTGCTGAGGGAGGGGCTGGGGGACAGAAAAGCTATGTGTGTGACCCGGGAATTGGGGGTGTATGGGAGGAGATAGCCTCCTTGTGGAAGGCCAAAGTCTTCAAGACAGCTCCCAGAGGGAGGCCAGGGCAAAGAGAGAACAAAGGTGCTTAGGGTTTCCTGGACTCTGATTGTCTGGGGGGCCTGGAGGGAGGAGAAACTAGCTCCATTGAAAGGTTCAGAGGGAAGGTAAGTGCAGAGCGAAGGTCAGAGTCCTGGACTAAGGGCATGAAAGAGACCTCTCCATAGAGGGGAGACCTCTCCACAGAGGGGCCGGACAAGGGCGGAAGGAGAGGGGACCAGAGCAGGGAGGGGCTGGGGAGTGCTGGGGTGGGGCGCCATGGGGGGCAGCGGGAGGAAGTGAGGGTGGTGGAGGGAAGGCTGGCGGCCCTTCTGGGAGGAGGGGGAAGGTGGCAGGTCTGGGAGGACCGAGGGGCCGGGATGCGTGGGGAGGGGGGTGAGCAGTAGAGCAGGGTGGGGAGACTTGACATTCACAGAGAGGATCAGGTGGCACCAGTGGCCTTTTCGTTTGCCAAGGGAACAGAAATCCTGGAAGGGGCGAGAGCCAGTTTGCCGGAGGAGCCTGTGTCTGAGGTTTGCCCCGAGCATGGGGCTGAGCCAGGAGAATCGGAGCTGGGGGATCTCTAGGGCTAGTGTCATGTGCAGGAGCTAGGAGGGCAGGAGGTGCTCCCAGCCCACACACAGGACTCGAGGTCCCCACCCCCCACACACACACACACGTCCCACACTCCCCGGGGCTAGGGATGAATGGGCTGCTCCCCTTGGCAGGGCCCCTGGGGGTCCTCTGGGGAGGGAAGAGGCCTTGTGGCTGGAGAAGGGATTGGAGCCCGTGAAGGAGGCAGTTAGGGTGGGTCCGGCTTAGGTGCTGTGTTAAAGCTCCTGGGCCCTGGGGTGGGGTGCTGGGCTTGGCAGGAAGGGGGTTTCATATTTCTGGTAGTTTCCTGAGTTTCCATGGATCTTCCGGGCCTGGGGCTAAAAGGAGGGAGGCTTGGGAACAGGAGCTCCTGGGACCCTTTGGCTCTTTGGAGAGCCAGGATGGAGGGGACTGGAAAAGGGCTCGACATCTGGGGAGGGGGCTGGGGCTTTGCAGCCTGGTTAAGGCAGCTTCTGTGATGGGGGGAGTGGCCTGGGTGGTGGCGAGGAACCGAGGTGGGACTGAATCAAAGATGTGAGGGTGTGTGTATCTGTCTGCAGAGCGTGCAACCCTGTGAGTTTGTGTGTGTCCTTACGTCTGTGTAGCATGTGTCTGTCTGTGTGCATTTGATTGTATGTCTCTAGGCTTGTCTGAGTTTGTCTCTTTAAGTGTGTATCTGCGTAAGTGTATGTCTGTGTGTCTCTGTATATGTCTGTGCGCATCTGTATGTGTGACTGTGTGTGTCTCTAGACTTTTCTGTATGTGTCTATGTAAGTGTGTGTCTGCATATAAATCTGTGTTCCTGGGTGGTTCCATGTGTTTCTCTCTGCCTGTCTGCGTGGTGTGTGTCTGCGTGTGTTTTTTTTTTTTTTTTTTTTTTTTGGCTGCGTTGGGTCTTTGTTGCTGCACACGGGCTTTCTCTAGTTGCGGCGAGCGGGAGCTACTCTTCATTGCGGTGTGCAGGCTTCTCATTGCGGTGGCTTCTCTTGTTGCAGAGCACGGGTTCTCGGTGCGCGGACTTCAGTAGCTGTGGCGCGCGGGCTCTAGAGTGCAGGCTCAGTAGTTGTGGCGCACGGGCTTAGTTGCTCCGCAGCACGTGGGATCCTCCCGGACCAGGGCTCGAACCCGTGTCCCCTGCATTGGCAGGCGGATTCTTAACCACTGCGCCACCAGGGAAACCCTCTGTGTGTGTGTCTACGTAAGCCCTCGTGTAGCTGTTCTGTGTGCGCTCCTGGGGGACCCCAGCCCTGTCTTGCTCACCTCAGCCGTCACAGCAGCACTGACAGGGAACCTCAGCCGTCACAGCAGCACTGACAGGGAACCTGGCTGTTGATGTGGCATCGCGAAAGCCCGTGTTTGTGAGCAGGAAGCCTGGTTATGAATGTTCGGAAGGTATCCGTGTGCGCCTGTGCGCCGTCGGGGCTAGGCTGGCTCAGACACCTGCTCCATTCTGGAAGCGACTGTCGAGTGCGTGCCACATGGTGTGTGCGGTCGGGCCAAGGCTGGCTGGGAGGTCCCACCTGCCGACCACTAAGTGATGTAACAACCAGAAAGAATTCCACCCACCTGCCTTGTCTGACTTATGGCTCACCTGCTTGCCCCTCCTGTCCCTCCCTCCAGGCTTGCTCTGGGAAGCAGGTGAAAGGAGATGCCAAGGCCAGCGCATGGGCCTCTGGCCACCTCCCAGGGGGCGGTGCCCCTCTGTGATACCTGGTGCTGGGGCAAGAGGAAGGGACGGTTTCAAGCACCCAGGGAAGGTGGCGGGTGGGCCAAGGGAGGGCTGGCAGCTCCATTCTGTCCCTTCCCCAGGCGGCCCGGGCAGTAGGAGCAGTGGCCGTGAGGCTGTGGCGGCAGCACTTGGAGCCGAGGATGCCCCAGGCCCTGGAGTGTTCGGAGGGCTGCTGGGCCTGGATGGTGCTCCTGGCCTCTGTGGTGACCCAGGGCCTCACCCTGGGCTTCCCCACATGCATCGGCATCTTCTTCACTGAACTGCAGCGTGAGTTCCAGGCCAGCAACAGCGAGACCTCCTGGTTCCCGTCCATCCTGACAGCCATGCTCCATGCAGGGGGTGAGCAGCCAGGGGAGGGATGGAGGGAGGGATGAAAAAGAGCCTGGATTGGGGAGGAAGCCACAACCTCCCTGGCCTCCTGGGTCCCTCTCTCTGAGGCCACAGGTTTTGCCCTGTGCTGTGTATCCCTAAGACCTCCTCTGATTTCAACAGGGCCAGCTCCCCTGCCTGGAGTCTGGGGGGGCTGGGCTGGACTGGGCTGGGGAGGGCCAGAGGATGGAGAGGCCCCTGAGAGGTAAAGCCGGTCCCCTTGATGACCGTGGGAGGATGGATCCAGACTGCAGGCGTGCCGGGCACTCAAGCACAGACTGGAGGAGGAGCGGCTTGGGGTCCTGCTGGGTGACCTCTCGGAACCTCAGTTTCTTCCTCTGCAATATGGGAGTAACACCCAGTATCCCATCCTGCCCACCTCCCACACAGGATTGCAGAGAAGGTCACATGAGGTCCCGGCCAGGTCCGAGAGCTAGGGCAGTGGAAGCAGCTGTGAGTTATTAGTATTCCGGAGACCCTCATCAGGGCTTCAGGATGGGAAGGAGGGCTCAAGGAAGACACCAGGAGCAGGAGGGGGGCAGGGCAAGAGCCCATCTTTCACCAGGAAGCAGAGGGGGTGTTGCAAGGGCTGGGGAGACGGAGGGAGGGCTCCCCCAGGGATGTGAGCACCTCACCCTGACCCCAGGGAAAGGGAAGGGCAGGGGCTGCGCAGGAGGGTCCTCCACAATAGCCTTGGGCTCCTGGAAGATCTCCAGGGAGAGCTCCACAGGCAGTTCCCGCAGAGGGGCCTGGTCAGCGAGAGCTGGACCTCACAGCCCGCCGGGCTCTCCCCACGGGTGTGTTTGCCTGTCTCAGCTGATCCATCTCCCTGCTTACCTCCTGCCCTGACCTCCACCTGGCACCAGCAGCCTGCTTGTTATTCCAGGTCCTTCCCTCGAATGGGGAGGGAAGTCAGACTGGGATAGAAGCCACCCTCACTGCAGTGACCCCTGAACACGCTGCCTGGCAAGGAGCAAGGCCAGGCCTGGCCCAGACCGCATAACCTTTTTGTCAGCAAGGTTGAGCAGTAGTGGGAATCTCAGACAGTTCCTTCCCTGCAGCCAGAGAGGGGTCTGGGCCAGGGGCTGGGAGCCAGGCATTCGCTGGGGACCTCACTCCCCTACCAGCTTCAGACTCATGCCTAGCAGGTGTGCCAGCATCTCAGTGGGCCTGGGACTCCTGTCTGTCTCTCTGTGTCACACACACACACACACACACACACCCCTTTAGCCCACGCTCATTCGGAGTATCATGGAAATTTTAAACTTGAAAGTGTCCTTGATCCTAAGTACCTCTCACCCCCACACGTTTTAGAGGTGAGGAAGGCAAGCACAAAGTACAAGGCCTTGCCGGTGTCGCAGGGTGAGTTCAGGGTGGAAGCAGAAACACCTTGCTTCCCAGCGCCCCACCCAGCGCCCTCGGCTGTCTCGGCTGAGCTGGCACACATCCCGGCCCCTCACTCCCAACTCGATGACGCAGGGCTTTGCCCAGTGTCACCTTTCCAAAGTCAGGCCAGAGTATGAGGTGGGAGAGATGTGTGAGTCAGCAGTCATGTCCACTTCAAAGCCTTGCCTCTCCCTCTATGGCTACCTCTCCTTGATTACCTCTGAGGACGGACCTCTCACTTCCCATGTTCGCTCCCTTACTCGTACTGGCTCACACCCACACATCCTCTCTCCACGCCAAACACGGAGACACACACCAAGTGCACACACACGCTTTCCTTGTCCCTTTGGCTGCTCTCTGGGAGAGCAACTCTGGGGAAACTCTGCTGTGTGTACTCGGGGGCAGGGTACTTGGTGAATGGGGCCCTGTGAGGTGACGAGAGCAGGCGGCCAGGACTGGCTTCTACTCTGGGTCTGCACTGGTGAGAAAGCAGCTCAGGGTGGGGGTGGGTGAGGGAGAACAGGCCCCTCTCTACCAGGAGCTAAACTTCTGGGTGCAAGACTTTGGTGATGGCTGGAGGGGGTTGGGGGGAGAGGGTACCCCACCTGCGTTTCTCCAGAGTGCCCCAGAGGCCAGAGCCAGCGGGTGAAGGGTGGCCCAGGGCCCCAGGCTGCCAACCCTGGACAGGTTGAAGGATGGTGGGAGGGCTGTGGCCAGTCTTCGTGAGGACGGGGGAAGGGGGAGCAGGGGCTGGAGGCGGTGCTCACCATGATCTAACTGCCCTGGGACCCTCGCCCACCAAGACAGACCCCCATGAGGGGCGTCCACCCAGGTCACAAGCCAATCCCATTTCACCTGGACAGAAGCGGCCTCAGGTCAGTGCAGTGAACGGCCTCAGTCTGTACCTCCGGGGATCCTTGTCAGGGTCAAACGGAATATTTGCAGCACCTCACCTCACAGCTGGCCAGACATCACCCAGTCTGACCCCTCAGTCTCTGGGGGAGGAAACTGCAGCACAGAGAGGGATTGGCGTTGCTTGGCCCGTCGCCAGTCTGTGGCAGGGCGGAGCTCAGAGCCCAGGTCTGTATGTTCCGGGGCTGTGCCCGTTAAGCCACCTGCTAGTTCCTGCTGGAACCCCCTCCCAAGCCCACTGTCCCCCTCCCTCTGACCTCACCATTTCGCTGCCACCTGCCGGCTGCCTCCTCCGCACAGGACCCCTGTGCAGCATCCTGGTGGGGCGCTTCGGCTGCAGAGCGACGGTGATGCTGGGCGGCGTGCTGGCCAGCCTGGGCATGGTGGCCGGCTCCTTCTGCTGCACCCTCGGCCAGCTCTACCTCACGGCAGGCTTCATCACAGGTGACTGTCATTCCATGTCGAGAATTGCTGGGTAGCTACTGGGTGCAAGATTGAAAAGGGCCAGGCACAGTGAACAGGGCAGGCGAGGCACCGCATCTTCTGGGGCCGCCTGCAGTCACATGAGGGAGAGGGACAATGAACAGAGGAGTAAGAAGGATCATATCTGATCATGACGAGCACCTGAGAAGACAGGACAGCAGATGTGATAGTGTCCCGGCTCGGCTGGGGGTGGGTAGAGATTAAACAAGTAAAGAGGTAGAGTAACTAAAGCAGCCAATGCGGAAGGTGAAGCAGGGTTGGGGGAGGTTGCTGGTTTCAGCAGGGCGGTCGGGAAAGGCCTTGCAGAGAAGGTGGCATTTGGGCAGAAGGAGGTGAGGGAGGCTGCCGGCAGGGGAAGAGCATTCCAGGCAGCAGGAACAGCAAAAGCAAAGGCCCAGAAGTGCTCGAGGAGCAGCGCGGAGGCCGGTGGGGTGGAGGGGCGTGAATGAAGGGTCAAAGGGGTTGGGGGGTGGGGGGACCAGGAACAGGTTTAGTTCCTAAAAGGCTGTGTAGTGAGATGGGAGGCCATGTGAGGGGTTCGGGCAGAGGGACGTCATCCAGCCACTGTTTGTGAAGCACTGAGCACTGCTCTGGCTGCGGTGTTGAGAATACACCATAGGGGGCTGGGCTGGGAGCAGGGAACAGGCAGGGGCGTGGTCACCACCCAGCCAGGAGGTGGTGGTACCTTCAACCAGGGTGGTATGATTGGGGTGATGGGACGTGGTTGTGTTCAGGACTGCATGTGAGGTGCAGAGAAGGGGCCAAGATGACCCAAGACCCAAGAAGGGTGATACCAAGGGGAGAATGGAAGAATGCAGTAGCCACTAACTACAGTGGGAAACTAGGGGAGGAGCAGGTTCTCGGGAGGATGGGAAGCTCAGGTTTGGACACATCCGGTCTGGAGTTCAGGGAACAGGCCTGAGCTGGAGCGGGCAGCTGGGGAATCCTGAGATGGCTCGTACTCAAGTCTCGAGATGAGGTATCACCCTGCTGTCACTAAGGGAACAAGGGAGGATGGATGTAAAGGACTGAGGCCTGAGGCCCAGGACACCGACACTCCAGTGGTTAGCAGCCTGGGCAGGAAGAAGTGACAGAGAGGGAGTGGGGTTTCTTGAGAAAGGAAGTGAGGAAAGTGCGCAAGTAGGAGGGAGTGATCGACTGTCAAGCCACTGATGGATCAGACCGAGTGGGGATCAGACTCCATCTTTGGCTTTGCAAAGTGGAGGTTGGCGGCTTTGATAAGAGGAATCCTGGAGCAGAGGTAAGGATGAAAGTCTGATTGGAACAGGTTCAAAAGAGAACAATAGGGGCGTTCCCAGGTGGTCTAGTAGTTAGGATTCTGGGCTTTCACTGCCGTGGCCCAGGTTCGATCCCTGGTCGGGGAATTGGGATCCCACAAGCCACGTGGCACGGCCAAAAAAAAAAAAAAACGAGAGAAAGAAGAGGAGGAAGGAAACTGGAGACAGTGGAGATAAACAGTATTTCCAAGAAATTTTTATATAAGGGGAGAGCAGAGAAATGGACCAGTACCCAGAAGAGACTGTTGTCAAGAGTTTTGTTTTAACGGGAGAAATAACAATGAGGGAGAATGATCTAGTAAAGAGGGGATAATGGATGCCACAGGAGAGAGAAATTGCTGGAGGGGTGTGCCTTCAAGTAGACAGGATGCAGGGCGGAAGTGGAGGGTTGCCCTTGACTGGGAGCACGGACTGTCCATTGTCACAGACGGGAAGGTAGGTGGTCAGCTGGCAGTGCGGGAGGGAGGTGTCGGGGTGCTCAGAGGAGGAAGGCCTGGGGGTCGTCTAAGAGCGGGGACAGTAAATGGGCGAGGGAACTGCAGTGGCACCGTGGGTGGCCCGAGGGCCCGCCTGAGGCCAGTGGTCACAGCGTGGTTGCGAACTTTCTCTCCAGCATGTTCAGCTGTGCATGGAGTGGCAGGGGGGAGGTGGCATCCAAGCTGAGTCAGGAGAGGAAAGCCTGAGGGAAGCATATTCCAGGCAGAGGGAATGGCAACTGCAAATGTCCGAGTAGGTGGGCAGCTTAATGTCCAGAGGAAGAGAAAGAGACTGATGGGGCTTGATCGTGGCGAGTGTCAGGGAGAGTGGCCTGAGATGGCACCCAAGGGGTGGCCAGGGGCCAGACCGTGCAGAGCCTTCCAGGGCAGAGTAAATACTCTGGCTTTTCTTCTAGGTGTGATGGGAAATATTTGGAAGGTGTTAAGCAGCAGAGAGACTTAACCTGATTTAGGGTTTTGAAAATCCCCCTGGTGCCGTGCCAGCGGGAACAGGTGTGCCCCTGGCAGCCTTGAGAGGGCAGATCTGAGGGGTGGGATGCTTCTAGGGAGGTGGTGAGGTAGGCTGATTCCATCTTAAATCCCTGGGGACCTGGAAGTGGGTCTGCGCTGGAACGGAAGGAGAACAGACCTGGGACCTGACCCCAGGGTCCCTGCACTGGGTGCGCCCTGGAGCTGGTCCTCCCCTCTCCTTCCACAGGCCTGGGCATGTGCTTCAGCTTTCAGTCAAGCATCACTGTGCTGGGATTGTACTTCACCCGCTGGCGGGTGCTGGCCAACGCGCTGGCCTCGGCGGGCGTCTCCCTGGGCATCATGCTCTGGCCGCTGCTCTCCCGCTATCTCCTGGAGGACCTGGGCTGGAGAGGCAGCTTCCTCATCTTCGGCGGGGTTCTCCTCCACTGCTGTGTGTGTGGGGCCATCCTGAGGCCCGTGCCTGCCCGTGTGACCCCTGACACCAGAGACGGCCTCCCTCCACCTTCCAAGAGACCCGCACGCGGCTGCCCGGCAGCATGCGGTCGGGCCATCCGGCGCCACCTGGCCTTTGATGTCCTGCGGCACAACGTGGGCTACCGCGTGTACACCCTGGGGGTCGCCTGGATGATTGTGGGCTTCCCGCTGCCCCACGTCTTCCTGGTGCCCTATGCCATTTGGCACGGGGTGGACGAACACAGGGCGGCCCTTCTCATCTCCATCATTGGCTTTAGCAACATCTTTCTGCGGCCCATGGCTGGGCTGGTGGCAGGCCGGCGGGACTTCGCCAGTCACCGCAAGTACCTGTTCAGCCTGGCGGCCCTGCTCAACGGGCTCACCAACCTGGCGTGCGCGGCGTCGGCCGACTTCCGGGTGCTGGTGGCCTACTGCCTGGTGTACAGCGTGTCCATGAGCGGCATTGGTGCTCTCCTTTTCCAGGTCCTCATGGACATTGTCCCCATGGACCGGTTCTCCAGCGCCCTGGGCCTCTTCACCGTCCTGGAGAGCATCTCCATCCTCATCTCCCCGCCACTGGCTGGTGAGGCCCTGGGAGGGAGGGCAGCCAGGGGTGGCCTGGGCAGGGCATGGGGGGGTGCAAATAGGAACAGTCTGGAGACTTGGGCCCCCTCCAGCATCTCAGGGTTAGCGACTTGGAATCTGTGATTTTCTCAAGCACCTCAGGGGACTGGCTGTAGCCTGTTCCGCAGCTGGCACTCAGGGTATGAAGAGTGAAAAATAAGGATTTTCATACCAGACTTATCTCAGTCCTTTGTCTTCCCCTCTGTACCTCTGGCTTCTTATCAGTAAAGTGGGGATGACAGTAGAATCTACCTCACAGGCTTGTTGTGGGGATCACAAGTGTCATATAGCAAAGAGCTTAGTAGAGAACCTGGCACACGGTAAGTGCTATGCACATGTCTGCTGTTCGTAACATCCTCTGCCTGTGGGGCCCGGGCAAGTCATTTTCCTTCTCTGAGCCATAGTGTCATCTGCAAAATGCAGACGAGAACACCTGCCACACCCATCCCTACACCTGTGCCAGTCACGGGGTGGGCAGGGCTGAAGACAGAGAACTAGTCCCCACCTCTCAGGGCTTACCTTCTGGTGGAGGAGTCGGGGATTAGAGCAAAGAGGCCCCTTTGTGATCATAATGGTGATTTGTGCGGGGAGGGAAACGAACAGATACGGAAGCAGGGACCCACAGGAGTGAGTGGACTTGCTGGGCGGCTGAGCGTGTGACATTCAGAGTAAAAGGGAAGGTTTGTGAAGCCCGTGGTGCTGGGGGGCAGTCAACAGACAGCACGGTTATTATAGTCAGACAACGGGGACTATATACCTCCCAAGTGTGGCATTGGAAGTCCCAGTTTCCAAGGGCATTCTCCAAGCCAATGAGCGGGGAGAGCAATCCAGGAGGAGGCGTGGCGGGCCTGGGGTAGGGCTGAGCAGATATCCCAGACGCCACTGGCCCTTGAGTCCTTGGCTTCCTGCCACCAAGGGTAAAGGAAACATGCCCCTAAGTGCTCGTCTGGCCGCCCAAGGGCTCTTCCTGCCCGGACTGGGGCTGGTTTAGTGTTTCCTTTCCTTTCATTCAACAAATACCTAACGAGTTCCCACTAGGTGCCAACCACGGTTCCTCGTGCTGGGGATGCAGGAGAGACAACAATAAAATCCCTGCTCTCACAGAGTACACAGTTTCGCAGGGGTGAGGGGGCGTGGGCGGGAGGCCTGGTAGCCAAGGGCAGTGGCCTAACTTGCTCTCTGTCCCCTAGGACTCCTCCTAGACACCACCAGCAACTTCAGCTATGTTTTCTACATGTCAAGTTTCTTCCTCATCTCAGCCGCCCTCTTCATGGGTGGCAGTTTCTGGGCCCTGGGGAAGATTGAGAGGCAGGGCCCGCAGGCTGAGGTGCAAGGAGCTGTAACAGAGGCTGCCCCAGAGCAGGGCCTCACTCTGGAGGACACAGACGGTCCCAAGAAGCGGCTGCGCGTGGAGATCATGTATGTGACCAGCGTCTGAGGCCCGGGGTCACTCACATGTGTGACCAGCATCTGAGTCCTGAAGTCAGTGAGGCCTGCCTCAGCCCAGGAATGTCCAGCGATTTCGCCAGAGGCTGGGGTGAAGGGCTGCCCAGAAAGCCTGAACCAAAGGCCATCTGGGTTCTGCACGTCGGGACTCAGCCAGGAGTGGGGACCTTAGAGGCTGACCTCCAGAGGCTCAGGGTTCCTTCTAACCAGCAGAATCCAGGAGCAGATCCTCCTGACTTTTTTGCTGGGGCATCAGAGTACCCGGGGCCCAGGAAGGTGGGTCTGCGCCCAGCTCAGGTCTGTCACGGCCGGCTTGGCTCAGCTGGCTGCCTGCGCTGCTGCTACAGCTCAACACACTGGACCCTCAAGTCCGGCCTGGGTGCCTCCCATGTGATCTCTTTGTCCTTCACCCTCTAGACAGCTCCGAAGAGCTCAACCCTCCTCCGAGTCTCTCCTGCCCCCCTTCTTCCCAGGTGGCCCAGCCCTTGCCCGCAGGGCTGCCCCCAGCACAGGTTGCTGGACCTCATGCTACCTGGAACCTTGGGAAGAAGGGCTTTGGGAGAGAATGTGTTGCAGTGGTGGAGGGCCAGGCTGAGCGTTGGCCTGGATGCAGGATTTGGACAGATTAAATGCCAGGTGGAGCACCCGTCCTGGCGACAGTACAGAGAACTGGAGGGGAGCCCCTGGCTTGGGTCCTAGAATCAGTGAAGTCTGAGGGCCCCCTGCACACTCAGCAGGGCCTGCTCCAGGGTCTCCTCCCTCCTCTGCCCCATCCTGTATCTTGGCTGGGAAGATCAGTGCTGGGGGGAGCGGGAGAGCCACACATCAGACCAGGGGCGGAAGGATTGCTAGGCAGGGCCCCAGGACCTCTGTGGAAACGGAGCTGCTTTTGCAGCAGAAGCCCTTTCACTCCCCTCTCCTGTCAGCCTTTTCTCCCTGCTGTGTCAGAGGTGTCAACCCTGGGATAAGTGGCTGGCTGGGCCAGCTGCCAGGCCACCCCTGCTCCCCACTGGCCTGTGCGTCTGGCCTGGAAGTCAGAGCTTCTCCCCCAGACCGGCCGGCCGCCACGTACTCTTTTTGCTGGTGCCTTCCCTGAGATCATCACCTGGGGACTGGCTGTCATCAGCCCAGGCTTGTCCCAACAGTGTACCAACTGAGTGAAAGGAAAAACAGAGTTTGTTTGAATACACACAGAAACACTTTCTGCAGCGGGTTATAAACCCTGTGAACTAACGAAGCTAGAAAAGAGGCCTGGAGTAAGTTTTCCCCCATCCCCCTTCAGGGCTACTCCCACCAAGGACCTTGTTTGTTGATTCAAGCTCAACCAGGTTTCAACAAGAAACCCTTATCAGGAGAATTGCTTTTCTTTTTATGACCCGACTCCAGCCTTCCTCCTGCACGAGGCCAACTGGCGTGAGTCAGCATCCTTGGGGATGTTGTCTTTCCCAGGATTCATGAGTGCCCCCTTCTGGCCAAAAGAGGTAGTACGGAGGTGAAGCAAAGGGCTCTGGGCTGGAATAGAGACCTGAATTCACGTTTGACTCCGCCATAATTTGCTGTGTGACTCTGGACCATCTCTGGGCCTTGAAAAAGGAGGAGGTTGGCCTAGATAAGTTAAAGTCTCTTCCAGTTTGAAAAGTCTGATCCTGAAGACCCCGCATTGCCTCCCTGCCCCTCCATCCTGTCCTGTACTTGGGCACCATCCATAGCTTGTACACTGAAGGGGGAATCCACAGCTGGACACATTTACCAGGTCCTGCCACCTTCTCCATCTTAACTGAGCAGAAAAGAAGATTTGGGGCTGGTAAGTAGATGAATACTTTTTGGTGCTAGTAGCCACAAGCCTTTGAAGTGTGTATCCCCTTTTAGGCCCACTTCCTGAAAACTGATTTCTTTCAAGGAAAAAAGATACTAGTAAACATTTAGCATAGGAAACTTTGATCTCCTCTGCCCCCTGGGCAAGCGTGGTGATAATCTCTGGGCAGAATTCCTTCAGCAAATATTATTGAGCATCTACTGTGTGTCAGGAACTGGCAGAGAGGAGTTAAGACCTGGTCGCTGCCCTCAGCACAAAACCAAGGATGAAGAATTCTTCCCAGAGATGAGGGCCTCTGAAGCCTTAGGAGGGGACAAATGAGGGAGGCTGGGGTGGCCCATCTGATTCCAGAACCCACACTTAGCTGATCCTGGGATTCCTCTAGAGAGGGTCTAGAGCAGTTCCTGACCAGGAGCTCCCTTCCATCCTGTCCCCAAGCTCTGAGCTCCTGGTCCCAGGCCTTTACTGCTCTGTCCAGACAGAAGCAGAGAAGCCCCCTGGCCACCTCGTGCTGAGATATACTTCCCCAAGTCAAATCAGCTCCCCTCTGAATGTGAAGGGCCTGGTGAGGGGCCTGGGGCCACTGTCCTGCAAGAAGCAGCCAGGGTACCCAAGCACCCAGACTATGGTCATAACTCCTGCCCCAAGGGTGTGTGCACAGGGCAGGGGCTGATCACAGGGACCTGAGCCCACCACGGAGGTGGAGGCTGCTCTCAACGGGGCTGTGGTAGGCTGGAGTGTGGCAGCCACTCTGCCCTCATGCCAGGCCCAGGGCAAAAGGAGCATGGCCCTTGCCCTCAAGAAGCTCGCAGCCCAAGCCCCTTTCATCCCCACGTTTTCAAGCACAACTGGAGTCTGGGAGGGCCACCTTCCTCCCTGGTGCTCTGTCCCCTGTGCCTATGAGGTCTGGGTCGCAAGCCCCCTTCCTGAGAAGCCCCGAGAAGGAAGTGGGCGGAAGGGCTTCAGCATCAGAAAACCGCCCAAGCGGTACAGCTGGGCTCCTTCTAGGGCCCGACGGTGCTGCCTCTGGTGCTCTCTGCCACCTGGCTGATAAAATGCCTTCCAGCCAGAGGTGGCAGACTCAGCTCAGGATTGGGAAGCAGAGGGTACCAGGCTTGCCCGGCTTTTCATTTTGGCCGCTCCAGGCGGCATGCAGGATCTTAGTTCCCAGACCAGGGATAGAACCCATGACCCCTCCATTGGGAGCGCGGAGTCAACCACTGGACTGCCGGGGAAGTCGTCGCCTGGCTTTTGGGAAAAGCAGACGAGAAGGTAGTGTCAAAGTGTTACCGAACCCAGGTCCGGCTGCTCGCCGCTCGAAAGCCAATTCTTTTTTGGAGCACAGGCTCTGGACGCGCAGGCTCAGCGGCCATGGCTCACGGGCCCAGCCGCTCCGCGGCATGCGGGATCTTTCCGGACCGGGGCACGAACCCGTTTCCCCTGTATCGGCAGGCGGACTCTCAACCACTGCGCCACCAGGGAAGCCCACAAAGCCAATTCTTGAGAGACAAGTGTTGGTAGGAAAGGAAAGGTTGCTTCAGAGGCTGGCAACCGGGGAGAGGGTGGAGTCCTGTCCGAGAACTCCCGATTGCTGTTCAGGGGACAGGGGCTTTTAAAAGGGAGTTTCAGGGTTATATAGGCGGAGGGAGGGAGCAGAACAGCATAGTCAGTTCTGACAGTCAGCTTGAAACCAGTAATGTGGTCTGATCAGCGTCATCTTGGTCGTTTTAAGTACGGTTAATCTTTAGTTCCAGGGTTTGTTCCCATTTCTTTGAGGCCAGTTCTAGGAATTGTGTGAAGTGGAGCAGCTTATGTCATGGCTTCAATTTGGCCATCATGTAGTCATCCTCCTCCACCTGGTGGGGGCTTCAGTAGCTGCAAAACAGCTCACAGGATACAGCTCAGAATGTTATCTATAGAACTTAAGGACGAACTAAAGGTCCTTGACTATGCTTAAGGACTAAACTATTATTATCTGGTCTCCTTTGTTTTCCTCTATTTCTGCATTTTTTCACTTCTGATTAAACTTATTCTTTGGCTAAAGTTTTTCCACAGAGAAAAGGCAGGCTGAGGACATGGGGGGCAAGGACCATAGGGTCCTGCTCCGTTTCAAAAGGACCCGCGTGGGGGACACAGGGAGCCGACACTTGCGTTCCTGGGGGCCCTTGGTGTGTGTGGGGGAACTGCACCCCTCCGTCAAGTGCAGGGGCATCTGGAGGTGCTTCTGCCCCGACAGCCCCCCACACAGGCGCTCCGGCACCTCTGAGCTCCTAAGGGCCCTAGAGGAGCTCCTCAACGCATCCGCAACCTTCCATGACCGCTTCCATCACGATGCGGATCGCCACCTGCCTGAGACAAGAGGCTTGAAGCTCCCGGCCTAAGCACCAGCAGAAGAACTTGCTTGAAGCAAGCCCAGGGAGCTCAGTGACAGCCCCGCCCCTCACCCTCCTCGGCCCGCCCCTTCCGCCCCCTGGGGCGGGGCTAAGAGCGGCTTGCCCCGGAAGTCCGGAACTGAGCCGGAAATTAAGCGCCGCTGGGCGCTGCTCCTCCCTCCTTCGGCGCGCGACAGCGTCCTGGTTTTCCGCGCCCCAATTTGGATGTTCACTCCCAACTCTTACGAGGTACTGTGTCCCCACCCCATTTCCCCAGCCCAATTTCAGCTGCAAATTACTGCAGAACCTGAACCGAGGAAAGGAACCTATTTCCCGCTCCGGTCTGCCCCTCTCCGGACCCGGCGAGGCCCAGGTGAGGTTCTCGCCCGCTTTTCAGCCTCACCTTCCACACTCCCCTGCCCGTCCCCCGGGGTTCCTCCGCCGCCCGACCATGGCCCAGAAGCCGAAGGTAGACCCCCATGTCGGCCGGCTGGGATACCTGCAGGCGCTGGTCACGGAATTCCAGGCGACCGAGAGCCAAGGTGAGAGCGGCAGGGTGGGGAGCAGGGTACCAGGCAGGGGTCTGGCCGCGATCGCCGCCCCGGACCTGGCTCCAGTGCCGCTTTTCCACTGCAGACGCCAAGGAGCAAGTACTGGCCAACCTCGCCAACTTCGCCTATGACCCCAGTAACTACCAGTATCTGCGGCAGCTGCAGGTCCTGGACTTATTCCTCGATTCACTGTCGGAGGAGAATGAGACCCTGGTGGAGTTTGCTATTGGTAAGGATGGGGCCGCTCTCCTAGATACCTGATGGGCTGTAATGAGATAATGAGTTAGAAGTGGGTTGTTGGGAAAGGAATCTCTTAGGCAGTCGCTCAGCTGCGAAGGCAGACTTTCGCGATGTCTGTGCCGCCTCCGCGGTTCACACGTTGTCCAGGTCACGGCTCGCTTGAATCAGGTTTGGAACTCTTTCTTAGGAACCCCTCTGCCTGTCTAGCTTCCCTCCCGCTTAGAGGTGAGATCGAAAATGAGGGAATGGTTTGAAGCCCCGTTGGAGGGAAAAATGTTGAGTGCCCTTTTTAAACATCTTTGACTTAATGTTTTAACATCGGGACTTCCCTGGCGGTCCAGTGGTTAAGTCTCCGTGCTTCCACTGCAGGGGGCACGGGTTCAATCCCTGGATGGGGAACTAAGATCCCACATGCCGTGGGGCACAGCCAAAAAAAGTTTTACCATCAAGAGAAGTAGCGGTGACTTGGAATGGCTTGTGACTCCTGTAGTTGTTATGGTCTAAGACCTACTGAATTATTCACTGGACAGATATATTTATTGGACGTATATTGTGCGAGCAAGGTATTGTTCTAGATGTTGGAGAGATGGCGAACAAGTTGGGCAAAGGGTCTTTGCCCTCAAGGAATTTACATTCTAGTAGGGGGAGACAGATGGTTGACAAACAAGAAAGCTGAGGCTCTGAAGAAAATAAACAGGGTGATGAGAGAGAGCAAGGGGAGGGAGGGGCTACTTCTTGTTTGGCCATCATGGGAAGGCACAACGTGGGCAAAGACTCTAGCAGAGCTTCCCTGGTGGCGCAGTGGTTGAGAGTCCGGGGACACGGGTTCGTGCCCCGGTCCGGGAAGATCCCACGTGCCGCGGAGCGGCTGGGCCCGTGAGCCATGGCCGCTGAGCCTGTGCTCCGCAATGGGAGAGGCCACAACAGTGAGAGGCCCGCGTACCGCAAAAAAAAAAAAAAAAAAAAAAAAAGACTCTAGAGCAGGAGGAGCCAGAAGGAACGCTGATGTGGCACCATTGTGTTGACTGAAGCAGAGAGTGGTACTAAGTGAGGTTATAGAGAGCTCACGGCACCAGAGTTTACAGGGATTCAGGTCTCGGCATTGGGAAAGAGTTTGGAGTTTATTCTGAAGGCAAACCAACATTGTTTTTTCAGCATGCATCTTTAAAAAAGAACATTTCTCTACATAGTGAATCTTATCTACATAGAGAATGAACTTAATAATTCCATTATCACCAAATACCCAGTTAGGCCAACTTCTCTAATAGGTCCCAAAAGGACATTTTGTTGTTGTTGTTTTGTATAAACCAGGATCCAGTCCAGGATTCATGCACTTAATCTGGTTCTTACGTTCCTTAGATCTCAATCTCTCTCTTTTTAAATAAACTTTGTATTTTAGAACAGTTTTAGAAAAATTGCAAAGATAGTACAGAGTTCCCATATATGCCACACCTAGTTTCCTCATTGTTGTCGTCTTACATTAGTATGGTACGTTTGTTACAATTAATAAACCAATATCGATGCATTATTATTAACTCAGGTCCATACTCTATTCAGATTTGTTTAGTTTTTCCCTAATAATCCTTTTACTCCTCCAGGATTCCATCCAAGATACTGTGTTACATTTAGTTGTCATGTCTCCTTAGGCTCCTCTGGATTGTGCCAGTTTCTTAGACTTTCCCTTTTTTCTGGATGACCTTGGCAGTTTTGAGGAGTACTGGTCAGGTATTTTGTAGGTTTTCCGTCAGTTGGGGTTTGTCTGATATTTTTCTCATGATTAGAGTGGGCTATGGGTTTTGGGGAGGATGACCACAGAGGTAAACGGTAAAAGGCCATTTTCATTTACATCATATCAAGGGCATATGCTATCAACATGACTTATCACTGTTGATATTAACCTTGATCACCTGGATGAAGTAGTGTTTGTCAGGTTTCTCCACTATAAAGTCACTCTTTTTATTTATTTATTTATTTATTGGCCATACCTTGTGGCATGTGGGATCTTAGTGCCCTGACCAGGGATTGAACCCATGCCCCCTGCATTGGAAGCATGGAGTCTTAACCACTGGACCGCCAGGGAAGTCCCTGAAGTTACTCTTTATCCTCCCCCTTCCCCCCTTTCCATATGGTGCTGTTTGGAAGGAAATCACAGCATCAATTATCTTATATCTTTTTTTAATATAAATTTATTTATTTTTGACTTCTTTTGGGTCTTCATTGCTGCACGCGGGCTTTCTCTAGTTGCGGTGACGGGGGCTACTCTTCGTTGTGGTGCGCGGGCTTCTCACTGCAGTGACTTCTCTTGTTGCGGAGCATGGCCTCTAGGCACGTGGGCTTCAGTAGTTGTGGCACGTGGGCTCAGTAGTTGTGGCTCGTGGGCTCTAGAGCTCAGGCTCAGTAGCTGTGGCCCACGGGCTTAGTTGCTCTGCGGCATGTGGGATCTTCCAGGGCCAGGGCTCGAACCTGTGTCCCTTGCAGTGGCAGGCGGATTCTCAACCACTGCCCCACCAGGGAAGCCCATCTTATATCTCTTTTAATCATTAATAGACTCTTTTTTCCTAACACTAATTGTTGAAGGATCCAGACCAGCTCTGCAGAACGTCTCACCTTCTGAATTGTCTAGTTGCCTCTTTATGGTGTCATTTCATTTGTTCCTGTAACTGCTTTATTTCCTGTAACTTAGAAATTAGATTGAAAACTTTTCTAGAATCAAGTAACACACTTTTTTTTTTTTCCTGAATACATCCTGGGCAAATGTGATTTAAATTTTTGAAAGGCCATCCAGGTCTGCCTCTAATTTGTGGTATCTGGGACTCCTCTTACTACGACAGGCCTCACACATGTGTGGACATCCCAGCTTCACTCACAGCCCCACAAACACTTGCCTGGTGGCCACTCATTGGACTTCGGCGTGTGCACACAAACAGCGGGGTTCACCGCCGGGAGTCAGGATGCAGGAAAGAGGCCCATGCAGCTGGGGGAGCAGGTTTAGGAACTGGAGCTCTGGGTATGGGGGAAGAGGGATGGGCTTTGGGCAGGCTCCCTGGACTCTTCAACCTATGGAGAGGGCCAGAGTGAGGCCCTCGAAACCTGGGCTGGGGGCAGGAGCCCCGGTTGCCCAGGTCTAAGGGTGGGAATAGCTCATGTCTCTGCCCCTCTGGAAGATTATTATGCTGAATAAATATCGTGAAAAATTGGTCACTTTAAGATTTTCTCCAGTGTTAGTACTCCATCTCCTCCCTTTTTGGAACTCTGCTCCCCAGCTTCTGCCGCCTGAGTGGTGACAGTGACCCCTGCAGAAGCCCGTGGCTAGGCCTCCACCTGAGAGTGATACAGCTCCTTCAACTCAAGCTCTTGACTCTGGAGAAACCTTTGCTGAAAAGAGCAGTCACCCGGGCAAGTTTTACAGGATCAGGAAGCAACTTTCCCGAGGCAGGAACACTCTTGAGTTCCTGGCCCACTGAGCTGGGAGCTTTGCCAGAGATCAGGGCTGGGCCTGGGTTCTTGCCCTCCTGGGCAGCTTCCCAGAGTGGGTGACCAAGCCCTGGACCTGGAGTCCACGGTCCCCACTTCTCCACTTTGTAGCCAGTCTTTGTGGATGAGTCCTGTCCCTTCACTGAGCCTCATTTCCTCACCTGAGCCTCGTCTGCCTCGCAGGACTGTTGCGGGGAGCGGAGCGTGTGCGCGTGTCTGTCTCCGTGAAGGTATCGATACTTTGTCTAGAATTGTTGGTATCATCACCAGTTTTACTTTCCACAGCCACTGTTTCCTTCTCTTTTTCTTCTCCTTCCCAACGTCCCCAATCCCCAGAGCAGCAGCTTTCTTAGCATTGAATCCCTCCGTGGGATCCTCTGGAGATTAAAATCCTCTCGTATTTATTGCGCATAACTTAAAAGGAGAGTCCCAGTGGTGCTTAGAAGCCGATTTTGTTACTCTTGCTGTTTCCTCTTCTGTTAACGTCTGTGCTGCTAAATGGGAAACACTGTCGGTGCTTATTCTGTGCTGGGCTTTGTAGCTTTGAATCTTTTGTCTCTGATGGCAGATCTGAGATGGTGAATCTCCATGAGATCAGAGTGCCTTGCTTACCTTTGTTACGTCTTGAATGCCCAGGTTTTTTGGCCTGGGACGAGGATGGGGCCGGGGAATGTGCGCAGTCCCGGACATGACTTCGTGCTGCAGCCCTGAGTGCGTTTGGTTCTGGAATAACTGCCGGGTTAGATGGCCCATGGCCATGGTTTGGCAGAACCAAAACCAATGTTGGTTTGTTGGCAAGGAATATAGAGAGTTTGGTAAGAGTGGGGCTTTGGGGTCAGGCAGGCCTGGGTTCAAGTCCTCACTCCCCGACTTAACTCTGGGCATGTGATTTCCCTTCTCCCATCATCGGTCAGGTGGGGGAGGATCGGTACATGCCTCACAGAGTTGTTGAGAGAAGTAAATGAGATAAAGTGCCTGCAGCTGCAAGGTCCCCTAGGTAGCCAGACCCCTTTGAGGATAAACAGTTCCCGAGTCTCCCAGAGAGGTGAGGTAGGATGGGATAGTGTCTAATCACCCAGCTGTTCCAGGGATTCGGCCCTTCTGGAAAAGCATCGTTGAATGATAGGAAAAGGTATGAAAGTTGATCTTTATCCTCACAGTGGGTGTCCGGGCAGTAGTAGGAGGAAGTACCACGGGGAGACAGGCACTGGTCAGGCCTGAGCCACCCTCATTTGGGATGGGGGATAGGAAGCGGGTGAATTATCAGGAACCAGATAAAAAGCCAGCATCTCAGTAAATACTTGACTGAGCGAGAGAATTCAGAGCTCATGCCCCAAATAAAAACTCTGGCAGGCTTTGGCATTAATTTGGGAGTGTTGGACTGAAGCACCATTGGTTGATTCTCTGGTGTCTTATATGCTGTGTGTGCACACCTGCACCATTCTAGATGGTGTATGGAGATGTAAAGGAACCAGGAGATAATTCTCTGCTTCCATGAAAACTGGCTGAATCCTA